AAATGTTTCACATGCTAGAAGCACATTGCTGGTTCATTCACCATTTGGATATGGCTCTTTTGCTTGAATTAAAAAAACCTCGCTCGAATTTGGCTGCAGTCACCGCAGTGTTTTGGAGTAATACGTGAACGTGTATTGATGAGCATGAACATTTATAATAATTTTAGTATGTCTGGTATTCGCGCCATGCCAAAAGTCCAAGGCTATCATGAAGGTGATGTTTCACATTCTGCAGTAGTTCCACGGGAGGAGTGATGTTGCTATGTGTAATGTGAATTTTGTCATGTGGGCAATTTTTGGAAAATGGTAAATTTAGACCATGACCTTGGCACACAATGGCCTACTCATTTCGAGTGACATCAGCGGATCTTTAACATCCACTGAGAAGCAAACAGCGCATTTTTTACGGTTAATACACCCGCAGTAATAACTGATAACCGCAGTATTGTATCGTCTCTTTAGAGGGATCTTCATACATGTGCAATTTATGTTTTTTTTACTAATTTCTTTATAACTGCTTTTTGTGTTTAGTTTGTTGCCCTTTCCCCCATACCTCCCCACTGAGCACGGTTGGCTACGTACGGTGCAAAAGAAGTTCCACATACATACAAACATGCAAATGTTAAAGCTTGCCATACCATTGCTTTCTTGAACATATTTTGACAAACTGAATTTCCCCACTATATTTTGAGTGTTGGTTTATGAAAGCATGGCAATGCATGGGAAAAAAAGTTAGGTATAAGTACCCATAGTTCTGCAAAGAGCAAAATGTACGGTATATATAAGTGTCTATATTGATTTGAAGCTTCGTGACTGCAGGAATCTATACTCTTTGGTTCTTTCGGTAAAGTCACGTACGTGACGTACGTCACTTTACCGAAAGAATCAAAGAGTATAAGTGTATATATATACAGGTAGTCCTCTACTTACGATGGAGATGCGTTACGACAACCCCATCGTAAGTCAAAAATATCGTAAGTCGAAGATGGCCTAGCCTACCCAGGAGTCTTAAAGAATGGTGATAATTTAGCAAAACAGACCAATTTATCGTGGTAACCTTAAAATGAAATCGCTAAAGCTACGTATTATACATGCATTGAACATATCGTAACGTGTCATCTTGTACTGTACTCGCCAAGATTCTGTCCGTCGCCTGCATACTTGAACGATGTTAGGTTGTTGATGGCAAATTTTGTCGAATCGCCATGGTAAGATCGAAATATCGTAAGTCGGACCATCGTAACTCGGGGACTACCTGCACACAGTTTTCGGCACAGCATGGGAGACATTCATTATTCTGTGCTCCTGTGATAGTATGTTCTCGGTTATGCCCCTTCATGTGGCTCAGAAGACGCCGGTGGGGGCCACCACAGGACTAGTCTATTATCAAATCACTCGGAATGTGCCTGAACATATCAGATTTTTGGAAGCGGAATAGGTTTGAGCGGTACATTGTCAACATGGCTGTACAAATATACATATATCCACATATATCTTCTTGGTTCTTTCGGTAAAGTCACGTAGAAGGGAAATAATAAAATAAAAAATGTAAACATAATAAAATTTAAATGTATAATGTTATAGGTAAGATGTTTGATTTTTATTATTTTAATAAAAATACTAATTATTTTATGTTTTATTTTTTTATTTTATTATTTCCCTTCTACGTGACTTTACCGAAAGAACCAAGAAGATGAATCCCTGCAGTCACGAAAGCTTTAAATCGAAATCCACATATATATTAACGAGCTTTTTTGCCCGAGTGACGTCACCTGTTCATGGTTATTGTGGAGGGGTGCAGCATGTGGAGTTCACGACCTTGTGCGTTCGTGTAAATTTCCACTCAGATATGGATATTAATGAAGGTGGGGGGGGGACTCTTTTGCAGTGACGAAACGCACGGATTTAGCGATGTGCTGCTTACATTTATTTTTCACCGTCATTTTCTGTAAAGAAACGTCATATTTGAAGCGACTTTGCCTAATAAATTATTTAATTCAGCTCGACCTTCCTCTGCGCTAGTGTAAAAATACACCCATTCATGAATATTAATGAGGCGGGGGTAGGCCTCATGTGGAGTGACGTCACGTGGGGGGTGGGCCTTATGTGGAGTGACGTCACGTGTGGGACACACATTCTTGGCTAATTATAGTAGTATATTATTCAGCGCCAACACTGTTACAGCAATTGCACTCCACTGACAAATAACACATCATTAATCCCCATCTCAGCAGATGATTGCACTGGAGTTTATGTAACCGAGGATTGATTTTTAAATCAATATGGTAAAATGTCAGCACCGTCAGACAAGTTGTAAGGTTCAAAACCACCTAATTCCGCAATGAATAAGACCTCTGTTAAGTTATGCAACATTTTATTAGTGTTTTTACTGCCAAGAAACTCTGATGACAAAGCTTAATGAGGCACAATAATCTCTATATGTTGGCGCACTGGTAGGCCAATTTTAATAATTTAATTGATCTCAAGTATGCAGCTCGGACTGCACTTTATTGGCTATGTATTACATTTGGCGAACTTAACCATCACACAGCAGGCCGTCTTAGATTTACGTAGACAATGGAGTTGTCTTTGGTACAATTCCTAAATGATCCATTGAAAAATCATGAAACTATCACAAAAATATAAACCAAAACTAGGGCAAATGAACTAATTTGAAGCATATGCTACTTATAATTATTTAACAGTGGCACCCCACTATGCAGTGGCATGCTAACTGAACTGCGTAGAAAAGGTTTACATTGGTGACCATTCAATGTGTCTTTACTCTTTATATAAGTTGATTTATGTATTTTTTACATTTGTATACAAGCCACCATTAGATGTAGGCCTCCTCATTCCTTTTGGACATGGGGTTTGTTTGACCATACCTCACTATGCTGGTCAGTACAGGTTGGTGATGGTGGTGAACCCAGCACTCATTCAGATATCACTCACTGTGTGGCTGGGAATTCAAAGCAGGCGACTGGGTTCTTAGTACCGCACGTAAATAGAATGCAGCATGTACAATTTTACTTGCCATGGTTTCATAACCTTGATGTATAAATTACATTTTGAATCAATTACCGTTTACAACAAAAGCAAACGCTGTTCACTTTTAAAACTCTGCCGAAAAAAAACATAAATCATCTTTATTTTATAGCCATTTCATAAAACACTGCTATATGCAAGCACAAGTTAGCACCCTGGATTCACACAGTTGCTCCAAACATGTATTTGTCAAAATATGCGACTACGAAGTACAACAATTCATGCAGAAATGGTGACAACCCCAACTATGACTCATCTGACACTAGATCCCATATTTTCTATAATTCCAGACATCTAAATTTATAGAAATATTTTATACATTACCCCTATGCAGGAATCCTGCAATGGCATAATAGTTAGCACACTGAACTTGGAATTAAGAAGTCACCGGTACAATCTCCTGAAATGGCAGTTGAATTAACGAGCAAGTTTCTAGAGTCAGCCCAACTCTGTCCGTCCAATAGTATAAATGCGAACCCCACAATGAGTCAATTGGCAAGTCGTCTTGTGGTGGGATAAATTGTGGGTACGCCCACCTCTTCCAAGACATCTGGTTAGTACAGAAAAGTAGGCCAAATATCCTCTCGAGGGGTTCTTTAGAGGCCCTTCCACCACCAGTGGCATGAGCAAGTCATTGCGATGCTGCTCTTTACTATTTATGCAACAACACGTAATTTAGTTTTCCTTCTAATTGTATGCAGATAAGCCTTTGAAATCCTATCAGTGGCTGCTCATATTTCTCCAAGTAATGTTGTAAATGATGAGAAACATAAAAAAAATTTATTGTGCATATAATGGCACATTTATTCTTTAAAAAGCTGACATTCCTTTCCTTGCATCTCTAGGTATTTTGTTGAAATCCCATCATCCTATGGTGGTCCTTGCAACATTAAAATAACATGTGCTCTTTTTTATTAAAACAACAATAATTAAAACCATATGCCTCCAGAGCAGGGTGCTCTCATTTTTATTTCTATTTCGATCAAATAGAAGTGTATTTTGTTAACACGAGTCTTGGCCTAGCGTCTAACTGTATCAAACAGCATGCACACCATTTCCTTATAAAAACTATTTGACCGCAATTAAAATGCAATTTATAGTCAAGCATTTTAAATAATAAAAAAAATTAGACTTCTCCAACAATGCACTTCGCTTTGCATTGCACAGATTCAAAGTAAAAATGTAAAGCACCCTTTGAACCAGTTACCACCAAAAGGCATTTTTTGTTAAAAAAAGATAAAGGATTCACTGTATGAAACGGACGACAATTTGAAGTGTCCCCCATCTCACATGGCTTCCTAGGTTAACAGACCCCTCATTTCCTCCACCCATTAGGAAGCGGCATGAGGTCAGATGCGTGTGATCTAACCGTGCAAAAACCCTGAGAAGGCTACTGGTCCCCAGGGCTCGGCCAAGGGGTACAGTTTACCCACACATGTGACTGACTCACCGTGGGGAGATTCAAACCACCAGTGACTCGGTGGAAGGAAATCAGCTGTTGTAATGACGAGGGGCATTTGGTGGGGATACTAATGAAATTATGTAGAAGCCGAGTGCAGGCACTGATATTAAATACGACACAATAATTTTTGTGGGAGCGTGTGACAACTGGGACTCGAAAGCCCTTCGTTTTTGGACTCGCACAGTCTATGCAAAGGTTCTATATTAATCATTAAAATGTTTCCCTTTATAAAGGCATACATTAATATTGAAATTTACTAGCCTTACCATTACATATAGTTTATGTAGTTTATATTACCCAGAGTTGTGTTGCTTTAGGGAATATATTTAACGATTGTAATGTGAATTATACAACGTAAAGAGACGTGAATATACGCGTAATAAAAAAAATTGCTAGTGTGTATTAATGCAAATTAAACAAAGTGTGCGATACATTGAAATGCATGTTAAATGTGTGATATTGCAAAAACGATTTGAAACACTGTACTCACGGTAACATTGTTCTGTTGCACTGTTTTAATGAGGCACAGATGGAGACTGCGAGATTCACGCCCTTTCCAGTCGACTGCTGAGAATTCTGTTCGGTATAAAGGAAGAGGGGGGGACATACGGATGTGCTTGAGGAACAACGCACGCAAGAATGGCACTGCTCATGGACAGGGGAAGTATAACAAGGATCTATCGGTAGCCTGCAGGCAGTTTCTATTGGTGGACACACCCAAATAAGTGGCGGGTATTTGTGTTAATTCTTTAGCACACAGTGGTTGAAAACAAACACTTCGGTGTCTGATTTGACGATTCTATTAATGTAAAACTAATTTTTTTTGGAAAGTTACGCAAACATATGGCAAATAAATAATTGACCTTTGTCCATATACTTTTTAGTTCCACATAACATGCATTTAAAAATGTATTCAGAGGCATGTAATGATTCATGGATTGAATTCTATTAATAATCCCAACATACGTGCATCCAATAGTAAGTCAGAATAAATTATTAAATATGATTTAGAATTATAATCATTTACATCTGTGTGTTAATCCACTGCTGGATAAGTCAGCATAAATGATTAAATATGATTTGGAATTCTAGATTTGAAGCTTTCGTGACTGCAAGGATTCATACTCTTAGGTTTTTTCCGGTAAAGTCACGTAGGTAAAAAATTTATTATAAAAATAATAGAAATAATAGAAATAAAATAATCACGACGTTTCGGAGGCAACACAAGTCTCCGTCACCTACGTGACTTTACCGAAAAAACCTAAGAGTATGATTTTGAATTATAATAATTTACATATGGATGACAACCATCTCACACATTTTTGGCCATGAGTCTTGTTTAACCGTATACTTCACGCTGGTTCAGATGTCACTCGGACATCAAGTGGCCATGGCTGGGAATCAAACTCGGTTTGCCAGGCTTATAGCGCAGTACACAAACACAATGATTGCATCATGATAAGGCTAGAAAATGTATTTTAAAAACATTAATATATTGGTGACAGTTGTATTGGTAAGCATATGGTGCTGATAAACATTGTTAAGTACACACAATGCTCTAATCATGAATAAACATAAATAAACTATTTCTAGAATGGTAGAGCAAATTAATAGCACACATTGTATGGCGTTCAAATCGTTTTGAACGGCCTCAAATGCAATCTCACAACAATATACGGTAACTCGATAACACACATCACATTCCAACATACTACAATAATTTGATGAATTTACATTGCGTATATGTGCGCACTACACCCTGGTCACATTTGTACAAATGCCGTAAAATAGCAACACCTATTCAATCCGCAAGTCATTACATTCGCCATTATTTTTATGAAGCACATTTGCAGTCATAAACGTTTAGCTCTGATAAGAGCATAAAATGCAGAAGTAACACGCACATCCGTTTACTTTACTTCTTGTACCAATGTCCGCTGCTTGCATCTTTGTGAACATGACACATCCATGTGACGAAAAGCAATTCCTATAAGCTCACTGAACGTTACGCATACGTTTTCAGTGTGGGGACACACGAAGAAAAAATGACGTTTCATTGGTGTGCTAAACCTTTTATTGGCCCGGAGTAAAAGGGCGTAAACGTGGAATAATGGGATTTCTATAGCAACGTTCCATTGCTCTGTATAACTGCTGGAATATGAAACCTGGAAAATTTGGCTGGAAAGTAACTGTCAACCTGGTTGGTTTATTTCGTGACAAAACACACTTCTTGTGCGCATTTTCTTCGCATATTGTAATAGCGAGCAGCACTGGTTCATGCAATATTGAATGCAGATATGTATTCCCTTCCCAACACGACTTGGTAAATATGGTATTTGTGAATGAACACACTAACAAGTATACGCTTACATAAACGTGTAACAGAGAACCCATCTGTTTTGAAGTACGATAGGCCTATGATAATATGTGGCAAATGGTCACCGATATATAAATTCAATTAAACAGCCCTTTCAATTCATTCAAATAAACTTATGTCGTGTCCTTTCTCTCTCGCTCCACTGACTATTCAACGCACGTACACCTTGCCAAGCAGAAACACTTACAATAACATGGCGCCATTCCCCATGGCAGACAGCGTCTTTTGGAATTTAAGAAATAAAATGTATATGCCTGAGGCTTGGTAAAACAATAACACAGGTGGCTAGCAGGTGAATACACAAGGGCCTACTCTTCGTGGATTTAATGCACAAAGCCTCATATGCATGACGTAACAAACGAATGCACAGATAACAAACTCTTACAATGCGTGAACTATATACATGCTGCACATATTATAAAAATGTTGTTTATTCAAACTACGTTATATGACGCAAGAGTACATTTTGTGTATCAAAAAAACCACCCAAGACATACATGAGTCACTCTGGTTAGATGGCACCGATTAGGAACAGTTTATTTAAAGAGGCTGTTTTACTCACAAAACAATTATGAACAAGCAGTATTTTAGTTTATCTACGTAATTGCCCAATTAAGGTCTATAATGAGACTTTAAGCCAATTAAATTCAGGACCACTTTCTTACTTAAAAGATCAGCAGTGTTACTTATTTACCAACACCACCCTTGGTAATATGGACTGCTGCTCATAAAAAATCGCCACCTCAGAAAATCTAATGGCTTTTTGAAGTTGAATGACAGCTCAGTGACCCCAAATTTATGTTGGTACCACCAACACCATCTCCTGATGTTGTACCCAAAGACATATATATACTGGATGTGTACAGATGTATCACTCCATTTCACACAGATACCTTTCGCAAATCACACTCCAATGGACACAATAAGTGGGATCTATTGAAATTGTTATAAACTTCGTAAAATGTTGTAAAATGAATATTACTAGTTTGGTTTAGAATAGCGTTTCTTGCCATACTGTTCGTGAACTCCGTTTGGCTCGATGAGCCATATGTAGTTGTTTATGTTGAAACCTAAGCGTATTCTTGGCCCCCAAATGAAGGTGTCTTGCCCCAGTGTTCTTCCTTGTGTTTTTATTAAGACATCTAAAACATTGTAAACCCCCTGCAAGGGCCTGAATATACATAATAGGCTATGTTTCCAGTGGTCCCGAGGTTATTTTCCGATAGAATCGGAAAATCCTGCATAACTGAGAGGGTTGAGGCTTTTTTTATGAAACAGATCAGTTAAATCGAGAATAGATGACTTGGTGTTGGCCAACAGGTAACATTACATGTGTACGTAGCTTCCATTTTTCGCACTGCGATAACATAGCATACTGCTAGGAGATACATCTAGTGGGTCTAAGAGAAGCAAATAGATTCAGAGTTTATTTACTTTATTGCCCGTGTATAAAATGGTTTGTAGCAGCGACTTCTGTTCCGCTACTTCCAAAGCAAGTGCTTTGTTGAGGCACGTGAACCATCTGCCCAAACAAAAAACCTTTACAAATAATTCACCCAGTTCCAACCAAAGAAAATTAACTATGAAGGTGGCATCATATCTCCCAATCGTACATTCCACGTGTCATTTATCATGTTCGCAAGAGGTGTCAATATTTGGCCGTTAAGCCAAAGACCATTCTACTAAGCCCTGCAAATGCCACAAATCGTGACTACGTACGTCACAGCAACTGTCTTAAGCAATAAATAAACCCCTTGAGCATGGCATGTCACAGCAGTGGATTGACCGCCCACACGTTAGCAGCACATGTGCTCAAAGCCAATTGCCCGATGGCTAAATGGTGCTAAAAGAGTTATCGGCGTGCCAAGGTCAGAGTTGCTCCATGTAAGGCACTTGCAGGACACCAAAGCCCAAGAGCTCGGACCACAAGAACGGCAAGAGTGGATTCCATGGCTGACCGAGCAGTAGCGTCAAGGGAGGGAAGCGGTATTTTTATCCTCTGCCTGCATATGAACGTCGTGACATTTTTAGGTTTGTGTTTGCACTTCAATTTAGTTGCACTCAGTAGCCAATGGCTTGACCGATACTGGTATACAATGCTAATTGCAAGCATCAGTATACCATACATGTCACAGTAAGGCAATGTGAAACACAGAGATTATGACTTCTCGACCTGACCACATTCATATAAAATAGAGACGATAAGTGGCATGAGGAAGGAGGCATGAGAAATTGGTCCGATTGCACTGCTTTTGTATATAAAATAACTGTATGTTAACGATATTTATACTCTTTGGGTTCTTTCGGTAAAGTCACGTAGGTGAAAAATAATAATAGATCACGACGTTTCGATCGCAACACAAACAACCGTCTTCACTCCCACCTGAAGACATCTTCACTCCCACCTGAAGACGGTTGTGCTTGTGTGGCGATCGAAACGTCATGATCTATTGTTATTAAATCCTTTATATTAAGTTCACTTGCTTGCTTGCTTGCGCACTTACGACCGTGCAAATCTTTCGGTCGTTTTTTAACCCACTTCCCGTGATCCAATCGAGCTGACATTTTGCACACAGACTCGTTGTGCGTTTCAATTTCTTTTCGTGAAAAAAATGTCCAAAATTTTACACTTTTTAGGTAAAAAAAAACTATATTTAATTACCAATTGCTTAATGGTGGCAGGCAATCATCTGACCCATAGGTGGCAGCCATCTCAAGCCAGAGAACGAGAGGACTCTAGCCGCCCGTTTCAAAGACCAATGTGGGGGCTGGGTTGTGGCCCATTGAACACGCATATAAAGGATTTATAGTGAAAAACTTTGTTTTTACGGGTTAATTTTTTTTTCTGCCGACGTGACTTTACCGAAAGAACCAAAGAGTATGGATTCCTGCAGTCACGAAAGCTTCAAATCAAGGTTAACGATATTGTTTACACGTGTGTTCTATACTTGACCACTTTAGGGTATACGTGTTATCATTGACCAATGAGCAATACTACCTTTATCATAAGTTTGACCCTTTGGTATGCATAGTTTTTATGTTTTCATACTGTTAACCTTTGAGGTATAATGATTATTGATGGGTTCGTCTATTATTCAAAATGTCCATAACTTAACATAATGCTTGAGGTCCACAAATTCCTGCATATAGACGTTAATTCAGCACAGGGTGAATTAGCATCTTTTGATTGAGAATGAAA